AACCGCCTTCTGTTTAACTCGATCTAACATGAGCCCGCGACCGTGATTACCTAAACTGAGTACGTTTATATAACTAGTTCATCGGTTTGAGCCATTTAAACAGTTGACGCATGAATCGCACACAAGACGGACCGCGCAAAAGTCAGACGTGTACAGATGCCTTGACTTTTTCTCTCAAGACGGGTCAAGTGAGCAACGACGAGGCTTTTTTTACCGCGTCGCACTGTGGTCCCGATGGCAGGCGTAGCTGAGCAAGCAGGTGTTTGCTTATAGGTTGTCCGTGTATACATCCGCACACATGTTTAGCAGACAGTTATTGTGTGATTGTTCGGTAACGTAGGCCTATGCATTCGCGCCATTTCTGGAAGGAACTCAAACCCATTAGTACGAACAACTACTCCTACGGGTTGGGGGAAGTAACTAACGTTTCCACCAACCTATAGCTGTTTCGCAAAGTTTGGCCGTGTCCTTCCGAGGCTCCCAAGCAAAATCGACCCGTCTGATGGCTACCCCCCGTGGACTTCCGAGATCCTCCTTATCAGAATCATTGACTCGCTTGAGAACACTTACTCATAGCCAGCAGGGGATCCTGCCGATTGCGCGTGCTACTTCAAGTCACGACGTCACTTCGTGTTTGTATTGAAGTCAATTGTGCGGGTAGCACAGAACTCCGCTCTTCAGACGGCCCAAGTCCAAATCATACTCATTGTGCATTGACGCGATCAGCATCTGCCCAAGACCACTCTAGGTCAAAACATGCGCTTCCGCATGAAGAAAAGCCTGGTGAGTGTCCCTATGGTGCATCCATGAGTCCGTCCGGAACGTGCCTCCCCACCGGCATAGCAGTCCGGTGCGGCAACGCAGGGTTTCCCTCACTGCCGTCAGCCGGACACAGAAACCAGCATAGCAACGGTAATGCTATCGAAAATAGCAAAACCGCCGCATTGTCCAGAACATATGAACAGATTGACCTCGCCAATAGCCTATGCGTTACGTCACTAGAAAAGGAGGTATGTGGAATTCCTCGGTATACCGCATTTTGCTCTACCAGCATGCCACGCACAAGCCATCCTCTATGGTAGTGTGTACTTACGCACTCTTTTAACACACTTGGTTGACCGCCAGTTCGGAACGAGGCAGACCGGGAATTCTACACTGTAGTTGAGCTGGCTCCAGCTCGGAAGTGCCTGCAACGCCGCTATGGCAAAAATCCCGGTCTCTACTAAGTGTTCGGCTGGTTGTCACAACCATGCCACCCATTGACCGACCTCGGACTTAACTATGCGCATTGCCTACACCTAGCCCAGCCGCAGGTGCAATCCTAACCATTGTTAGGCTATATACTGATCGTGCTGCGGAACCACGATTGAGATTAGCGCTCCGAAATAAACGCGGGAGCTAAGATGCGGGTTCAGATCAGTAGTAAGACAGACCCGCCAAGAAAATGACGAGCGTGGGGATGATTATGAACCCTGGGTAGACCAGTTGCGCAAAGTTTCCAAATGAACGAACAAGGGATCAGTCTATCCGGGATCTCCAAGGGTATGCTTGGCGGTTTCTCCGGCCCTGACAGAGCTCACCTTTTACAAATATAGAATCGAGGCTTATGACTAAGCCCAATCTTCATCCTTTTTAGAAATTGGCCTCATAATTAATGTGTTCCGCTGAGCTGGATATAGAAATGATCCATAACACATGTCGGAAGAGGCGTATGGAGCGCATGCAGGCCACAGGCGTTCGCCAGTATAACAGCTTGTGGTCCCCGGTCTCTGCGCTGCCCTTGCGAACTTACACGGCGTGCAGATGTCTCAGCCATTGCGAGCGGATTCGTTTCTTGATTAGATCTTGGAGGACAGCAACAGATCTCGTCCAATGTCATCCCTACTCACGTTGACACTTTCCGTATGGAGACGATTTGGCCTCGAAGGATAACCGGAGTTGACTACAATTGCACATGAGTTAGTCCGCGTCGTAATACTCATGTGTGGACACACATATTACAGTTCACCACCGTTTGATAATATCTCGGTGGAGATTTACTGATCTTCTAACCTCCTATTCTGAGGTCGCGCTTCAGGCGACACAATATACCTATTTACTCGGGATCTCGTGACTCGAAATACGGGGGGACTGCTATTAACGTGAGGCTAGCCATCCATACCGATATGCTGCTGTTCTCGTAGTGACGGGCTACTGTGATGGGGTAAGCGGTTCGATGCACGTTCATGTATTCCATCGGTAGTCATTTCAAGTGAGGCCAACTGTCTGCAGTGCCATATTACTTGATGAGGGGTGGTGACCCCACACCCCCTCCGTGCACGCAACAAAGAACTTTACTTTAGGTGGTTCATAGGAGTCGCTAGGAACTTTTGGCACTCTACAATGGACGGTATTCTAAAGATCCGCGCAAATAAAGCTATGTCCTCCACTAGTCCCCTCGTTTACGACCGGGCATCGGAAAC